CAAACTCGCGCTCGCGAATGTGTGGGAATGCGAGGTAAAATAATGAGGGAAAGAAAGAGAATGGAGCGATGGTTGCATTGGTACGGTGAAAGCATAGTAGACATGGACATAGTGCAGTGACCGACCGTAAGCGATCGTATGACTCAGGCCGGCACGAGATCCGACGCCGAGCGCAGGCCGCCACAATGGCGCATGAATTTTGACGGGAAGTTGAAGCTGCTGGCCACCACGCGTGGGACGCGCCCGTCGTGACGCCGAGGCCACGTGCCTTCGTGCAACGCGGTACCTAGAGCTACCCGAGGATCACTACACACACCTAACGTTACGGCGGTGGCCGTTGCCGCCGCGTATCGCCAGCTCGACGACATTCTACCGCGCTTCTGGCTTCGCGACCACCTTGTCCCGGCCTGCGCCATCCATACGCCTCGCCTTCGCGACGGCAAAGCCTCGCCGCTCCCGTCAGTTGCAACACGCTTAAAGTCGAAAGACTTCCCCCAAAACAGTTCACACTCTAAAAGTTGGATACTAGTATTGTTTCCACTTACGTGAGTCTATTCAATAGACTCACGTCAACAACAATCCCAGCAGCAACCATTTCCGGAGAAATCGTCGACGCGGGCATGGCCAATGATTTTGACCGTGCTCCTGCTCTTGAGGCGGGGGCTATGCCAGTAGGGGTCATGCATGCGTTCAGTAGACGATTCTATACCGGTACCGAGTAATACTGAGCGAATGACCTGATTTCAGTACCCACGATTGTTGAGCGTGTCATCATGCGCAGAGCGTCTTGAACAAACCAAGAAAATCGTACTAATAGTATGAGCGAACGCTTGTCCCCATTTATGATGTCGGTATGTTTGTACTCATCGAAACGACGATGGGGCCAATCCTTTTGACGCGAAATCGTCGCCGTTCAATGCGACTTGACCACCAACTGGCTCCTGCGCAGCCGGTGATCGCAGGCTCTGGGGTCAACAAGACATGACGTTTCGTGCAAATGATCAGACACGGCACTGAACCGAACCGAGCATGCCACACGCATACTCTGCAAATGGATGACGTGACTATGGCGACTGGTTGTCCATGCGCGGGCGTCCAATCGCTTGCGTCCATTTCGGTGTCAGCACGGACACAAGTTGGCCGCGCACGCGACTCCATCCGGTACGCTGTACGTGCAGCCCACGTCCCATACCATAGCCATGAAGGCAATGTGCGTCTCCTTTGCAAGTTACAGTAGTACTAGTACTATACACCATCGTTCTGAGCCACGGCATCGCTTGACGGACGTATTTTAGCCAATCGAAGGCCGTCTGTATACGTGTACGTCGATTTTTAGCCAATCCCTGACTCGTTACGGCGGCATGACTTGTCCGCGCCACGCGTCCAAGGCTTGCGGTTCAGGCACATGTTACATTTTTATGGGATGAGCACACGTAATCCTAACCGCGTTGATTTATTCCCCTGACGTAATCCAACCTACGGAGTGGGCGCCTTCGGTCCGTGCATAAAACCGCCGTCGCCGCTCACGTGGGCTGGCGTTGCCGCACCTCGTCCGTGATTGGCTCCCTAGAGTTGGCTACAAAAATGCTGCATGTCTTTTTCCACACAGCCACAGTGGGACACGCGTCCCAGGGTTTGGCTCACTTGCACTTGGAGTTCATTTTTTTTCAGCGACAAAAAGCTCATGTGCCCCGGCCCGATGCCATCGCGGACGCCCCCTCGCTACAACACCATTCAAGCGCTCTTGTCGCCCATGGACAACGACGACGACGATGACATGAACTGTTCTTCGTGCGACGAAGACGACGCGTGCACGACGAGCCCCGAGTCGTCGTCGCCGCTCTCGTCCGCGACCTCGTACGTGCATGCTTTCACGATGCAATCATAAGCTCATCGTGCAAGTAGACCGGACCGGAGCACGCGCGCGATTCTGGCGCGCCTCAAGACCGGTCAAGACGTCTGTGTCGTCGTTGACCACGGCCACGTCAACTGGGTCGCGTCGTACATGCAATACGGCTTTGACTCGAACAGCATTTTTCGCACGATCGTGCCGGTGCGGCCAACGTCGACACCGTGGACGCAAGACGAGCTCAACTACGTCCAAGCCATCCAGCGCTGCATCAAGGATGGGCATGTGCGGGTGCCGTATGGCCGCTGCACGGCGACGTTCATCGCCGAGCGATTGCACACAACCCGCGAGCGCGTGCACCGGTATCTCAAGCTCGTACCGTCGCCGTCGTCGGTCGATGGCGCGACCGCGTCGGCACTCGCCGAGCTCAAGGAGCTCCGAAGTTACTTTCTGAGCACCCTCGAGCGCTCCGTGCTCTCAGTCATGGCCAATGTCGGCCTCGATCAATCGTGGGTGGTCGCGATCAAATACTGACTACCTCATGTACCTATATTAAATCCAACTTACTTTATCAAAATCTTTCTTCCTTTTGGACTCGGTGGTGCTGCGGGCTCTCCGTAGTCGAGACTCGACGACGCGCCAGCACTGAAGCGTACGCTTTGCTCTGCTGTAGAGCGATGCGACGCGTGCATTTCTACAGGCAGCGAGCGACGTTGGAACAAAGTGAGAAAATTGCTAAAACGCACGTCAAATCAACCGAGAAAGATCGGAGCGGCCGCTGCACCTAGGTCAACGCCGCTGCATGCTCCGGCGTGCGTACTTGTACATAAATACGCTCCGTAGTGGTCAGCGCATGACTCATGACGTACTTGCCAAATATCGCCATGGGGGTATAAATGTGCCTCTTCTCCGCCGTTAAGCGCACACGCAGCCAAGACACAAGCAGCCGCAACGCCCTACCTTTGTGTCGAACCAGACTGACGCAAGCAAGCTCGTGTTGGCTCCATTTTCGCGTATAGTGGAGATGCGTCATGCAATTGTATTGGGATTGTAAAGGATGTTTCAATGCGCTCGTGTGGCAGGCCTCAAGCGAGACGCGTTCGAGGTCCCGTTGTGCCATTGTGCGAGGAACACGGTAGCGCCAACGGTCGGCCCCGTCGCTGCGTGTCTGTGGGGCAACCGGTATACGACCATACACCCGATCCACACCTGTCGCTAGGTTGAAGTTGCCGCCCTTTCTCCAGCATGATGATGGCCTCCATACTGATATACAGTAATAAAGGAATGGGCAAGGAACATGGATTGAGTGGTTGCGTGGTCGTCGCACCGCGCGCGCAATGTGCGATGGATGGGACGCCGATCGCCAGCCCCTCGCATCTATAGCGCATTCGATCCGTGTTTTACCTTTATGCCACGTGGAGTACTTCACTGCTGCTCGCCTTGTCGCAAGCGCGCTGCGGCTCTGCGCAGCGCAGTCGTGCTCGCCAGCATCGCATGGGCAGCGTGCAGAAGCGACTCGCGCGAGGCGCCCGCCGCCTTGAGCGCGCACATGACCTCCATTTGCGCAAACAGAGTATCGTAACGCGCACGTGCATTTGGAGGCTACACGGCGATATGAGCGCCCGCCCTCGCAAAGTCGCCGTACAGGCTCGAGGCAGTAGTAGGTGGCGTCGAGCGTTGGCGGTCCGTGGGTCCAGTGGCCACCGGCGCAGCTGTCCTCGCTGAAGACCGACGATGGCGCATCCGACGACGACGACGCTGGCGACGAGAGGTGGGCCCAGCTGCTGCTGCGCGGCGACGCCACCGACGCTGGACTCTGCATGTTGTACCTTGGCTTGTCGCGTCGGCTATGCAATGTGTTTAAAACAGACGCTTGTGAAAGATACATATCGTAGGATCCAAGATCCAAGAATGATTGTGTGGCAGACAGTGTATTTCAAAACACTGGATGCGCGCAAAAACAGTGGCTGCGAGACAGTGCATTTGTGTCGACACCGACGCGGCGTCGTCTCCTTGCACCGACCATGTTTGTGAAGGATGCTGTCGCAAGTATTAGCGGCGCGTGCCCTTCCACGACCCTATCTTTGGCGACGCGGCCCCAGAGCTTGTTTTTGCTGAGCAGGTCAGCTCATCGCACCTGTGCCAAGAAAGCTCTTGCCGAGACTCGCATCTTTAACATACCGCACTCTTGTGGTGAGTCGACGCCAGAATGTATCGGGCCATCCACACGGGTGCACCGAGAACGCGGATTTACTATCTGCATCGCGACAAGCCCTTCCCGTAACCAAGAGAGAATAACCTCTCGGGATTCAAGCTGAACCGAGACAAGACGCAAGTCCTCACGCACTCGCCTCTGCCCAACCTGCCGACGCTGCAGCTCGTCCAGCCGTCTAAGCCGACCAAGGCGCTTGGCATTCTCGTAGCTCCGAACCTGCCGCGAAACGCTCGCTGCGACTACGCACTGAGTCGCCTGCGTGACCGGTTGCTCCTCTGGCGACACAAGTCGACGACCTTGGCCGGCAAGGCCATCATCTTGCAAGCGGTCTGCCTACCGGT